TCTGCTCCCTGCCAGGTGGCTGCACTGGACCTGGACAATGTTTACATGAAGTACATGCTGGTGGTGACCCTCATCGTGGTGGGGCACTTGGTGGTACGACGCTTCTTCAGGCTCTGAGGGGGGCAGGGCTGGGGGGTCTGGCCCAGAGCTCTCTCCGTTCTCTGCTCTGTCTCCCAGGAGAGGGGGATTCCAGGAGCCCCCGAGAGAGAGCTGGAGAGAGGTGGTTGGACCCCCTCCCACCACAGGGCCCGGGGTCTCTGCATCCCCAGGAGCCACGGAGGGAAGTAGGGGATGGGGGGGCTCCTCTTTGTTGTCTTTTTGGTGCCTCAACAAGCTGCTGAGGATGGGGCCCAACTGTGCTGGGGCATTGCTGGGACCCCCACGTCCTCAGGAGGAGCAGAGGTGTGATGGCAATGCCTCTATGTGTGTGTGTGTGTGTGTATGTAGGGTCTCGTGCACCCCTGGGGCAGGTGCAGAGCCCCCCATTGCTGACAGCCCCAGCCCAGACCCCCTCTGTGTCTGAGCCCTGGCTGCTACAGTTGGTCTGTAAGCCCATGTGGGGCTGCTTCACATCCCCTCTGCTCCTGAGCCCGGGACTTGAGCCTTTTCCATCTTTATAACAGACAGCCCGACCCCTTTCTATAGGAACACTCCTCCTGCCCCTCCTCTGGCAGGAGTTCCCTGCCCCAGCCCGGGCCTGGGGCCCTGCAGCTCCCCAGGGCTCAGAGGGTGCAGGGCTGGGGTGCAGCCTCACAGCCCCCCCAAACTCAGGGGCTCTGTGCTGGCTCCCCTGGGAAGCACCAGCAGGTTCCCAAACACTAAAAGCCTGTGGGTGCTCTCTGGTGGGGACAGGGGGGGTTTCCTGCCCACCCACCAGTTCTGCTGGGGGTCACTCAGCGGGTGCTGGCACAGGAGCAGCCCAGCTGTGACCAGTTGTCCTCCCTGGCTGTCAGTGGGGGGCACTGGGGCTGCATCCCACCCCTGGCTGCCCCAGGGCAGGGCAGTGACTTGACCTTGTTCCATTCCTGGTGATGCTTGAGTGGGATTTTTGGGGGAGGGAGGGAAGCTCCACTCTCCCATCCCCAAAGCTCCCTGACTTTTGCAGAACAGGGAGTTTAAGCTGGTTACTCCACGAGCTCAGGGGCAGGAACCTCCCTGCTGTCCCTGGCAGCTCCCTCCTCTCCCCTCGCAGCTGCCCAGGCTTAGCAGGACCAGCCTTCATTTTTTTAACACTCCCCCCCTCCTGTTCCTGCCTCTTTTTAACCAAATAGCAGACTTTTTAACCTGCTTCCATATCAAAGTCCTCCTGAGGGGAGAATCCCCTTGCTCCTATCCCTGCAGTATCCCTTTCCCTGGTGGAATGCTCTGGTCTGTGCTTAATAGAAAGGCATTAAAATATTGACTCTGTTATTCCTCTTTCTCTGTTTTGGTGCTTGCCCCGTGCAGGGCAGCTCAGCTCTGCCATGGCCTGGCAGTGCTGGCTCTGAGCAGCCTAGCCTGGCTCACCTGGGCCCACTGGGCTCATTTGTCCCCTTGCCAAGTGCATTTATTTGCATTTTTCCACACACAACTTCATTTCCCATCGTGCCGCCCCTTCTCCCAGTTTGAGATTTCCTCGAGTCCAAGACTCTTCTCTGCTGTGAAACAGCCTAACCAGTGTGAGCTGCAGTTCCCTCCCTCCTCCTCACCTCCTTTTTGGGTGCAAACACCACCAGATGGAGCCTTTTTGCCACGATGAAAATGAATATCGTTATTTCCCCTTTCTCCTAATCAGCCACTCTGCTGGCAAATCATCGTCCTCCAGCCTGGTTCTCTGCTGGGGTTGTGTCTCCAGAAGGACTTTTTGGACGTCCTTGGAAAAAAACCCAGCACATCAGTTTTTATTCACTACTTCAGACCCACTCCCGGAACTCTAAGAGACTGGGGGGAGCTTTTGCTGCTCATAATTTATTTCCATTTCCCAGATAAAGTGTTTCCCCTTGCAAACCAAATGCAGCTGTGTGGCCATCAGGCTTCAAATAAAGAATATTTTTCATATTTATGGTAGAGGATTGAGCCTTAGTGAAGTCTGGGGTACCAGGACAGAGAAGGGAACTTTTAACTGGGTGCAGTGCAAAGAAAAATTTCCATTTTATGCGTTTTCTCAGGGGATTTGCAGGGAGGATTGTCTCAGGACCTCAGTGCATCGCCTCCCTCTGCTCTCACCTCTCCCAGCCTTCCCAGCACTGGTCAACTAGTGGAAAAAAGCTTGAACTGGGACTGTGAGATTGGTGTGTGGTGCTGTGCCCTCTCACAGCCCCAGGTGCCCCGTGGCTCCTGGTGCCTCTCTGCCAAAGGAAGAGTCTCATTTACTGAGCCTTTTTAAATCTCACCATCTCCCAACTCCTTCCCTCTGGCTGGAGGAATCTGCCCGAGCTGCTGCTCAGAACCTCCTCTCCCTGCAGCCCTTCCTCACCCCGGAGGTTTCCCCTGTGTTTGAACCCACACTGCCCCTGTCAGCTCTGGTTCCTCCTCCCTTGCTCCAGTGTCCCCACAGCTCCTCCCCAGCCCTGCAGGAGGGGACAGGGTGTGTGACAGCAAAGGACACTTGGCACTGGCTCTGGAGGGGAGGGACAGGTACATACACCTTCTTCTCCCGGGGGAGAGGAGAGGCAGACAGGTTCTCCCAGCAGCAGCAGGGAGGTGGGGAAGGAGCTCTCTGCAGGTCACCTTTGAAGGGCAGCAAAGGGGCTGTGTGGGACACGGTGGGCTGCTTTTATCTGAAAAACAGAACATTTCTCTCACCAAAACTCTGTATTTTAAATTATGTAATGTACATATGTCAAAATAAAAATGGTACCTTGAGTGCAAACTCATCTCCTGGCCGTGTGTGGGGTTTTCTTCCAGAGGTTTCCAGGAGCTGTGCTCTGGCTCTGGGGGGCTCTTGGGGGAGGATGCTTTGGCAGCTCTGCCTGGGCTGGGGCAGCTGGGCCCGTGTCCCTGGTCTCTGAGCCCCCCAGACACTGCCCAGCTCTGCCCCCTCACCCCGACCTGCCCTCAGTGCTGCTGCCTCCCCCCTGCAGCCCCACGGCCCCTTTGGGGCTGGGGAACCTCCCAGTGCAGCCCAGAGTGTGCTGACTGGCTGTGGTGGGAGGCACCAGGGCAGGGCAGGGCTGTGTCCATCCCTCCTGTGTCCATCCCTCCTGTGTCCATCCCTCCTGTGTCCATCCCTCCTGGCTGCTGAGCACGGAGGATCCTTCCAGAGCCTTCCCCTCCCTCCCTCCTCTGGGTCTGTTCAGGGGGATGGAGGGCAGGGCAGTGTCTGGGGGGCTGTGGGGCTGTGCTGGAGCAGGGGTGGCTGCACAGAGGGGTGGCCCTGCTGTCCCCAGGCAGGACAGCTCAGTGCCATGGCTCTGGGATGGATCCCAGTGACCCCACAGCTCCATCCCAGGTCCCCACCCCGGCCTGTCTGTCCATCAGGGCAGTGACAGCCCCGGGCCATCCCCCGGGGTCCCTGGGCTTGGGTTTCTGGATGCCACTGGGGTCAAAGGGGACCCAGGGCAGGATGCCTGCCCGGATGGCTGGGACCAGATGGAGCCACAGGGTCTGAACCCAGGCCGTGCCCATTCCCTGCAGGATTAATCCTGGGGAATGTGTTTGGAGCGTTGGAAGGAGAGGAGATGGAGGCTCTGGATATAAATTGCTGCAGGAGGAGCGTGGGCTCAGTGTTTCCACACAATCCACCAGTGGCAGATCAAGCATTGGAATCTAAATAAATATTTACCCCAGTCCCTGGCCTCCATAAATAGCCACATGTCACCATTCCCAGTTGGTACTTTGGGACTCTGCAGTGGGATTCCAGCAAGGGAGGAGCATTCCCAGCACCCTCTGTGCCCAGCCCTGCTCAGCTCCCCAGTGACCCTGGGCTGGGGCTGCCCTGCTGCCTCTGGGCAAGAAAAGGGTGAACTTTAGGGAAAGAGAAATGGCCCTAATTAAAGAGCCAGCTGCTCCCCTAATCCACTTTGCGTCCTGCCCCAAACCCAGATCAAGCTCCTAATTAAATTACCAAAAAAATAATTAAGGCCACAATATTTTTGCAGTATTTGCCTTTGGCCATTCAAATGGAATTGACCCTAAACCAGAATCCAAGATCTGGTGGCAATTTAGATCTAGAGCTGGTATTTAAGTCAAGTGCCTTTTCTCTAGAACTGGGTCAAACTCCAAAACACCTGAGTTTCATGGAAATAAAGTTTTTTTCTAGATAATTTCCAGGACATGAAGTGAATGAGAGTGGGCAGGGAAAACACACTTGTTTTTGTCATCCTCATTTTTTGATCAGATATCCTTCCCTGCCAGGCAGGTTTCCCTCACTTGGCACGTGCCTGGAGATCCTCAGCCCCTGGTTGGGATCCAGCCCCTGTCACTGCCATGGCAGGATCTGCTCCCTCCCCAGGGTTTGTTCCCATCCATTCATCCACCTCACACATCATTTCTGTCCCCAGTGTCCGGGAATCCACCTGGGACCTGCTGCCCTGGCACAGGGGAACCGAAGGGGACAGACCTTGGTCTCCTGGCTGAAGGGGAACAGGAGCTGCAGCACTGAGTGACAGGGCCTGGCACCAGCCCCTCCAGCAGCAGCAGGGCCTTTGGAGCAGCCTCTGAGAAGAGATTCCAGGAGCCCTGCCCTGAGCCAGAGCGTTTTTCCATCCTGTGAGTTGGCAGCCAGAGAGGCAGAGTGTTCTGCAAGTTATTCCTCATTCCCAGATCATCCTGACTTTCCCTGAGCAACTCCATGAATCACAGTGGTTTGGGCAAATTCAGGAGGAGAAAACCCTGGATGTTCCTGGGTCAGTGAGACGTTGGAGAGGAGCCTGTCCCAGCCCCTGGGGCTGCTGTGATGTGGGGCTGGGCTCTGCTCTGCTCTGCTCTGCTGGCAGCCTGCAGGGATCCAGGCTGGAGTGTGTCCAGAGCTCTGGCAGAGCAGTTCCATGTCTCCACACAGCATTTTACACACCTGTCTCTGGGGAACACTCGGTAACTCAATGCCCTTGCACGGATTGGTTGTAAAGGCAAATCCTCTGCTACCAAAGTTAGTCCTGATTTAGCACAAAGAAAGCAATAAATCCAGTTTTCTACTTACAGCAGCCCTTGCAAGAGCCCAAACCATAACGCTGCCTTTACACAAGTCACATTCCTAATCCAGAACTCCCTCTCTCCAAAACAATCCCCCCATCTGCTCGGGCCGTGTCCCTGCCCGTGGATTGTCCCACGGGAATAGCTGAGGAAGGGCCCTGGCATTTCCCCTGGGCTGACTGTGCTGGGGGGGATTTACACCCGGGCTGAGGTGGGGTTGTTCTGCACTCACCCTGCAGAGCCTGGATCAAAGCTTGGGAAGCTGCCCTGGGATGAGCCTGCCCAGCTCGGGGGACCCCTGCCCCGGACCCCCGGGCAGCACAAGGTGCTGCACAGCCCCTTCTCCCCTGGGATCTCCTTGCAAAAATCTGCAGCTACACCATGGCCACGGGTGGGATGACCAGGGATCAGCTGAGTTTCCCTAAAAATGAAGCAATGCCACCATCAGGGCACCAGGCAGCAGGGCTGTGCCAAGGGAGCAGGGCTGTGCCAAGGGAGCAGGCAGCTTTCTCAGGAGAAATGAGTCATTTTAGCACTTGGCACAAGTGAGGAGGGAAAGGCAGACTCAGACAGACAGAGAAATCCTGGCATTCTCCAGCTTGTTCAGACTCTGAGCCTTGTCTTTTAAAACAGCCAGAGATGCTCATTTTGTCACTGGCAGCAGCATTCCTGCTGCATCCTCACCTCTGCTGTTCCCTCATCCAGATGTTGCTGCTGCTCTCCCTCCCAGCTGGTGCAGCTCTGCAGGAGGTGATGGTCACTGTGCTCACACACCTCCACACCTGGGGGGAAAAAGGAAATAAAGGGAAAAACCAGGCTGGTACTGCCTCCCTCCCAAAGCCCAGCAGAGCTCCTGACTGGAAATGACAGCCAGGCTGGAGCTGCTCTCTCCAGAAAAGGATCACAGAATTCCAGAACCCCAGAGGCTGGAAAAGCCCTCCCAGCCCATGGATCCCCCCTGTGCCCCATCCCTTCCTTGTCCCCCAGCCCAGAGCACTGAGTGCCACGGCCAGGCCTTCCTGGGACACCTCCAGGGCTGGGCACTCCAAACCTCCCTGGGCAGCCC